TACAACAAACAATGCCAGGGAAACTCGGGCATATAGATGGCCATCCACACGTATTGACCCTAACTTGGCTTATTAGTCTGAGCTTAGGGCTTCCTCCCTCAAGCTAAGAAGGATCTCACTCGTAAGAACATAAGAGACCATCCAGTCCAACACTCTGTCACACAGTGGCCAGAAATACCAGGTGCCATCACGAGGTCCACCAGTGGGGCCAGGGCACTAGAAGCCCTCCCACTGTTGCCCCCCCAAGCACCAAGAATACAGGGCATCACTTGCCCCAGCCCGAGAGGTCCTATCTATACCTTGTGGCTAATAGCCACTGATGGACTTCTGCTCCATATCCAATTCCCTCTTGAAGCTGTCCATGCTTGTAGCCGCCGCCACCACCTCCTGTGGCAGTGAATTCCATGTGTGAATCACTCTTTGGGAGAAGAAGTACTTCCTTTTATCCGTTCTAACCCGACCGCTCAACATTTTCATGGAGTGCCCACGAGTTCTTGTATTGTGAGAAAGGGAGAAAAGTACCTCTTTCTCTACCTGCTCTATCCCATGCATAACCGTATAAACCTCAATCATGTCACCCCTCAGCCGTCGTTTCTCCAGGCTAAAGAGCCCTAAGCGCTTTAACCTTTCCTCATAGGGAAAGTGTTCCAACCCTTTTATCATTCGAGTTGCCCTTTTCTGCACTTTCCCCAAAGCTATAATATCCTTTTTAAGGTGTGGTGACCAGAACTGCACACAGTATTCCAAATGAACTCCTGCCAAGGTGAACTTCCCATGAGCCCACGGGGCCTCAGCACCTCAGCTGCTTGGCAAGCTGAGAATCCTGACTGGTCTGTGAAATTCTAGCCTGCAACTTGGAGAGGTCTCTGGTTTGTGGAGAAAGGGGGAGAAGGCAAGGAAAGAAAACGTCTAGAGATAGCGAAAACCGTTCCAATTAACTTGTGGCATGGAAGTTCACTAGTTTAAAAATGGAGGTGTTTCCTGGTTCCCCCTCCCCCCTGCTATCTTTCCACCCAGCTTCTGTGTTGAGTGTGACTCAGCAGACCTGAGTTCTTCGGGGGGAGCTGCCCGCTTTGCGATTCAGACTGAGAAATTATGCCAAAAGGAGCAAACAAGATCTCCTACTGCTGAAGCCTTCTTGAAAACGAACGAGGACTCTGCAACAGGGCCCGGTGGTCTTGCGTAGCCCCTCTCCATTTCATGGAGGCTGGCACAGAAGTGGTTCCTGGTGGGAACTGTGCCCCCAAACCTGTTATACTCTGGCTGCTGAAGGAAAGAGAACAGGAAGGACAGGCACCTCTTAATTAATTAATTAATTAATTATTACATGGCATTGTGCGTAGGAGAGGCAGGAGATCTGGAGAGTGTCTGGCAGCTACAAGGTTCTAGCTCTTAGCATTATGCCAGTGGCTAGCTAGACTTGTTTTTAGGGGCTGAGAGAGCTCTGGCAGAACTGTGACCAGTGCTCCCTCTAAGCTGTGGAGTCTTGTGATCAAAAAGTCTACTCTGTGAGCTACTGGCACGAAAGTTGTGAGCGAGCGATTTGGCTACGGCATAAATCAGTTTGCTCTGGAGCCTTCCTTCCTGAGCTAAGGCAAAAATGTGTGAGCCAGAGGCTAAAAAACTGTGAGCTAGCTCACACTAACTCAGCTTAGAGGAAACATTGACTGTGACTGGCCCAAGGTCGCCCAGCTGGCTTCATGTGGAGGAGTGGGGAAGTGAACCCTGTTCTCCGGATTAGAATCCACCACTCTTAGCCACCACACCAAACTGGCTCTACAAACTACTCTCTCTCCTCTGGATTTGAGTCCAGGAGCAACTGAGTGTCCATCTAGGGTTTTTTTGGAGGGTGGGGTATGAGCTTTCAAGAATCAATGCTCCGTCAGAGAGCTCTGACTCGTAAAAGCGGCTCCCCTTCCTCAAAAAAACCTTCTTGGTCTCTGAGGTGCTCCTGGACTCGAATCTCGCTTTTCTACTGCGGACCAGCTCGCGAGTCAAGCGAACGAGCGGAGGCTGGGCCAGCAAACGCGGAGGCAGGGCGACGCAGCAGGCCGGAGCCTATCGGACAGAGGCCGACAGCGAGCACGCGCGGACGTGCGCTTGGCCCAGACCTGAAGGAACCGCAACGACTGAGGGAAGACCTGCGCCAGAAGGACGTCATCGCCAGACCCTGGCCCGTAGCTAGCACGGGGCCCACAGGGCTCGGCCCCCTAGTGTTTCTTCTGGGCCCCCTCTCTCCTGGGCTGCCCCCAAAGTGCTCCAACTTACCACCTGCACTGTACTTGCATTTAATTAGCTGGCGGGCCCCCGAGGCCCCTTCCCAAAAAATTCCCTAGCTACGGGGCTGCGCCGGACCGGGAAAAAGATCTCCCGCAGATAACAACGAAGACTCGCTAGAGGGTGCCTGTTAGGCTAGTCACTATTCCCATTGTATGTATGTGGCCCTAGGTAAGGATTGGTATTAACTGAACGTGTAAACCGCTCAGAGCCCTCAGGGGGTGAGCGGTATATAAATTGAAGGAAATAAATAAATAAATAAATAAATACCCTCTGAAGCGCTTGTCTTCCCTGCAAGGTTGCATCCTGCTTGGCAATTGTGGAGGGGTCAAGAAGGTGTCATAGTTTCAAGCAGGGTGTTTTTTTTGTAGAAAAAGCCCAGCAGGAACTCATTAGCATAATAGGCCACACCCAACAGCAGAAACTCACTAGCATATTAGGCCACACCCATGACAGCACAGCGCATTAGCATATTAGGCTACACCCCCATGCACTCCCTTGGCTTGCCCGGGCAAGCCGGCCCTTGGACAGGCCAGGGGAGGCATATAAATACCTCCCCGATCCTTCCAGGGGCCCCCTGGCCTGCCCGCCTTGGAGTCTCTGGGGTGGGGTGGAGTTGCTCTCCAGGCCTTCCCTCTGTAGCCAGGCACGCAGAGGTTTTGGCTGTAGTGGGCATGGCCAGTTCTGAATCCAGCTGGAACTCCGTTCCTGTGCGTTCCTGCCCAAAAATAGCCCTGGTTTCAAGAATTGTTGCAGGGAGCTTGAATGCTGATGGGATTCTCACTTTAATATCTAGTACAAGGTTAGTCTGTAGGAGCGGCACTAAGGGAAATCAGGCCCCACTGGTGGACCTCCTGATGGCACTGGTATTTCTGGCCACTATGTTGGGCTGGATGGGCCTTTGGCCTGATCCAACATTGGCGTCTCTTATGTTCTTATGAAATCCACGTGTTCTGCCTGTTGGCAAGTCTGCCTTGTGACTGGGGTCAGGAGGATACCCTTTGGTCAAGGGGAATCACTTTCTTTGAGCATGCTCTGTATGAAGGAGTCTGCTTGCAAGATGATTATGTCCTCCACGTGAGAGTTTTACAGTGGAATCCTAAGCCCCATAGAGCAGAAGTCGGTGGGATTCTCACCTGCTTAGGATTGCTCCATGAGTTCAGTATTATGCTATCCAGACTACTCCAAAAGGAAGGGTTCTATGTGAGCATAAATGCTGAAGAAGAGGAGAGAGGCTTTTGTGGATAATTTATACCGTGTGCCTTCTGGGACAGATGGCAACCCTGGAGCCACAGTTGCCTTCATCGTTTTGGGTATCAGAATGTAGCTGGAAGAAGATAGAGGTGAGCATGACAGCCTCATGACAGATTTTGGATCAACGTGGGCTGAGATCAGCTCTGCATGTTTCCAGATTCAATAGAACCTTTTAAGCAGGCTGTGCAATGAACTCTGTGAAACGGGGAAACGAATATGTTCTTGCCTCAGTCTCTTGATCCAAAACCAGTGCCAAAGGGGCTTTTAATATTTGTGGCTTGTAGCCAGTGAGTGAGCTGGGGGGGCAGGCCAAAGCATGTGATATATTCTATGAGAATAAGGAGAGCCCTGCTGGATCAGACCAGGGGTCCACCATCCTGTCTCACACAGTGGCCAACCACTTCCTCTGGAGGGCCCACAACAGGGCATAGAAGCCAAGGCCTTCTCCTGATAAGAACATCAGAAGAGCCCTGCTGGATCAGACCAGTGGTCCATCTAGTCCAGCATCCTGTCTCACACAGTGGCCAACCACTTCCTCTGGAGGGCCAACAACAGGGCATGGAGGCCGAGGCCTTCCCCTGACAGGAACCTAAGAAGAGCCCCGCTGGACCAGGCCAGTGGGCCATCTAGTCCAACATTCTGTCTCACACAGTGGCCAACCAATTTCTCTGCAGGGACAACAACAGGGCATAGAGGCCGAGGCCTTCCCCTGACAGGAACCTAAGCAGAGCCCTGCTGGATTAGACCAGTGGGCCATCTAGTCCAGCATCCTGTCTCACACAGTGGCCAACCACTTCCTCTGGAGGGCCAACAACAGGGCCTAGAGCAGTGATGGCGAACCTTTTAGGGACCGAGTGCCCAAACTGCGACCCAAAACCCACTTATTTATCACAAAGTGCCAACACGGCAATTTAACCTGAATACTGAGGTTTTACTTTAGAAAAAACAACTCATACATTAACTTAAGATGATCCAAACAAAGTAAGGAAAGCAATCCCAAATGCTTTCATTTACTTAAAATTATTTGGCAGAGAATTTGACACTTTAATGATGGTCTGGGCCTGGCTGGGGCGATGGTACATGTGCCCACAGAGAGGGCTCTGAGTGCCACCTCTGGCACCCGTGCCATAGGTTCGCCACCACTGCCCTAGAGGCTGAGGCCTTCCCTTGATGTTGCCTCCTGGCTCTGGGATTCTGCCTCTGAATGTGGAGGCTCCCTTCAGTCATCATGGCTAGTAGCCATTAATAGATTTATCCCCCATGAATCTATCTAATTCCCTTTTAAAACTGTTTATTCCTGTGGCCATCACTACTTCCTCTGGCAGTGAATTCCACTTTTTAATCACCCTCTATGTAAAGTAGTATTTCTGTTCTGTTTTTCTTTGTTTCTTTATTTATGTTAAGAACATAAGTAGAGCCCTGGTGGATTAGATCAGTGGTCCATCTAGTTTAGGATTGCCAGGTCTTACCTGGCTTTTAGCGAGGGACTCCTGCATCTGCCCCGGGGGATCTTCTTGCATGTGCGCAAAGTGCATGCACCACAATGACATCATGCCAGGCATGTTGCACTGAAGTAGGCAATATTATTCCTTGCCCAT